GAGGCTCATGGCCGAGCTAATTTCCACTATTATTTCAGAAATTTGCTAGCCACCAACTAAATTCCTTCCGCGGTCGCGTAATGTTCTTTTTAGAGCGGCAGCGAGCATTGCGCAATTAATATAAATATTTTACAATTCGTTAAGCGAGGATGGAGTGCGTGCAATTAGGTACACTCTACGCATTCTAAAGCGTTGAATGTTCCCTATTAAAATGCGGATCTGCGAACTGTTCGAAATTTAATTCGTTCTGTCTTCATCCCTCTGCGATTTGTTACCGCGCAAAGTAAATAATTTTTAATCGCTTCTCATTTCCGGAATGTTGTCGACACAATATAGTAAGCGTTGCGATTATAGCTCGTTGCTGAACAAGGGATTTCAACGAAATTTGGCAGGCTGACACATTTGAGCCGTTTATTTTGAAAGTGGCATAAGTCACTTTTTTCTTTTTCTTTTTAAATGAAAAGATACCGTTCAATTGTAATTAGTGTTACCATTGACTCGATTTTTTTGAAAAAGTAACTTATGCCACTTTCAAAATAAACGGCTCATTTATACCTACGATAAGCGTAGCTAAAGTTTTAGCCGTATATATACAATTATGAGAAAATTAGGCGCATATATTTTGTTGACATTGGTGCGAACCATGTCTGATGTTTTCTGTGTAAATTTTGTCACGAAACGAAAATTTCTGGAACCGTAAGAAATTTTAGCAACGAAGTGAGAACGTACACGATGGTTCAATATCGATTAGAAAATATTACAGTTTCAACAGAGTAAGACAATTATTACTTCGTGAAAGTAAATGTGTTAATATCAGTGCTTCAGAGTGCGTTCTGTTGATTAATTATACATTATTGAAACCAATGTACCAGCGTTTTTAATTCAATCAATTCTCTCAATTACATGGCCCGGGAATATTTGATTAATACCCGGCTGGGTCGGCAATTTACACCGATATTANTTTCTTTTTAAATGAAAAGATACCGTTCAATTGTAATTAGTGTTACCATTGACTCGATTTTTTTGAAAAAGTAACTTATGCCACTTTCAAAATAAACGGCTCATTTATACCTACGATAAGCGTAGCTAAAGTTTTAGCCGTATATATACAATTATGAGAAAATTAGGCGCATATATTTTGTTGACATTGGTGCGAACCATGTCTGATGTTTTCTGTGTAAATTTTGTCACGAAACGAAAATTTCTGGAACCGTAAGAAATTTTAGCAACGAAGTGAGAACGTACACGATGGTTCAATATCGATTAGAAAATATTACAGTTTCAACAGAGTAAGACAATTATTACTTCGTGAAAGTAAATGTGTTAATATCAGTGCTTCAGAGTGCGTTCTGTTGATTAATTATACATTATTGAAACCAATGTACCAGCGTTTTTAATTCAATCAATTCTCTCAATTACATGGCCCGGGAATATTTGATTAATACCCGGCTGGGTCGGCAATTTACACCGATATTACTTCGTAAAAGCAATTGCATCAATATTGCAGATTCTCGTCTAATGAAGTTAGCAGAGCCGCCATCGGACACGTCGACAAGATATTTTCAATTTCGAATGTGTAAAAGTTGAAATTGCTTCACAAATTGTATTGCAGATTATAATAACGGATACTGTCATAATTGCTGCAACACTTGAACGACGGAACTCGGGTTCGTTTGGACCAAAAATATAAATATTATTATTTAACTGACCAGTTTCTGACAATTAATTAAAGTTGTCCACGGATTCATTAAGGTTCATAAAAAAATTTAACGTGTCCAGAAGAAGTACATTAAAACGAATGTTGAGAAGATTGCTATATCAAATTATAAATGATCCTACGCATATCAAGTTACATTTTTGTCAAAAAGGCCCGTGCATTTGTGAATGTAAGTGCATTTTAAAGCGTGCAACAGACACGTTTACGCTGAAACGTTTTCCAAAGGAACCAAATTACATCCTCCCAACGTCAAACATAATTTCATAGTTCATTCGAATATCATATCCATTTTGCTCGGTTTCTAACGAACGCGGCGCGAAATAATTAAATAAACAAACCATGCCACTCTGTAAAATGTAGAAAATCTAACGAAAGTAGCAAGAAAGACGTATCGCTTTCTCCGGTACTTAATCCTGGCAATCGACAGGTCAAGTGGATGAAATTCTGAAAGCTATAGTTTCTCGTTTCAACGCTCGCATATTCCGTCGTGAAAGACTAACGGCAGGGAGGGGGGGTAAAAAAAGGAACGTGTGATTTTCGATCGGTATTACCTCGCACCGCCAGCTACAATAGAGTCCCCGATGCATAAAGTTGGAAGGATCCGCTCGACCTATTGTGCCGGCAATATAACTCAAGTGTCGCCACGTTATTTAACCACAGGTACACTGAGCCTTTGTATTCTCCGGTGAGCTGTTGCGAAGACGACGCGGCAGTGTCCTGTCGCGGCAGCTCGGTGGAAAAGTCAATTGGAAAGCAAGAAATTTAATTTTCCTGTGCCCTACGCGCCGCTCGTCTATTTCTTTTTACAGCAAATAATCCGGTGTACTAATTGATTCGTGGACCATGAAATTGTAACTTTATTTTCAAATCGAATTTATTGGTTGGTGCATGCGAATTGCGGATTATTCAATGAATAGCGAAAGCTCCGTAACGAGTTTTCAACGCATTCGCTGCCAAGCCTATTTGGAAGAAATCCGTCGATGCACATTTTCATAAACTCGAAAAGGAAGACGTTGCGCCATCGTTTCTTCAAGGGGGATTCATTTTCTTCATAGTTGCAATGATTAGAAATTTTTCAATTGTATTAATCTTGAAGAAGAAAAAGGACAATTTATATTTATTGTATGCCTGCATTTAGTTGAATGGTTAAATATGAGAGAAGAGGCAGAATTTTATTTCGATTTAGAAGAATGGAATAATATTCATACTTAACAGGTTCTTCCTAGAAATCTCCATCACGTGTCAGACACGTTAAAGTATGGCAAGGGATTAATTGTCTGCAATATGGTGTCTGCAGGAAAGTGTTTCAAGCTGCTCTTTTATAATACAATAAAAATATCCGCTTCCTTCTTTATTTATATTGATTCCTTTCTTTATTTAAATTGCGCGAGACGCATTATTTTACTATCGCTGATCAAAATCTTGTCAAAATTGCCAAATTTGGCGGTTGTCGCAGAATTAATTGACCAGATTTCTTACAGTTTTTGGTAAAAAGTGAAAAACAGCGATTCTCGGAATCTCTAATTGCTCGTCGTTCGTGACAACATTAACGAATTTCGACGAAACTGTCAGTCCTTTCCTCTTCATTTAATCACAACGTTTGCAAACAATTCTTTTATACATTGCCTAGCGAACTGAATCTCAAAAATATTGAACTCTCTCAAAAAAAATTGCATTCTGCTCAACTTTTTCGGATGGAAGGAACTGTGCGACGTAGTAGGAAAAGATAAAAGCGCCGGCTTTGTTTCTGTGCTTCACGTGTGGAAGGAGACTCGCGTCGGGAACGAGGGTTTCGCTCATTGTTCCCGATCGATCATTAACCGTGGAACCGTCTGTCCGAGTAATCGATGATTTCGTTGCTCTCGCCCGGGAAGTTTGTCGCGGAAGTTACGAGTCCCCCGCGAGCAGCGTTCCTTCATGGGCAAGAGGAAACTTCAATTTGATTCTTCGAGATTGACGACGGGTTCGATATTATAGGAAGAACTGTGGTTAGAAGAAGTGTGATCGGCCGGGCAATGGCGTGGGCGGGGCGAGGGGCCGGGCGGAGATCGATGCGGGAAGTGACGAGTTCATTTTGGAAATAAGAAAAGTTTCGGCGAGACATTAGTTCGGGACAGTGTCAGATGGCGGATTTCATTATCATGAGATTTTGATGTTCGCCCGTTAGAGTTGCCGCACCTCCCGGCGACGGTTCTGCGCCGCGATATTGAGAACTAGGGTGGTCAATTTCCATTTTATTGCATACCATTCCGTTGACCGACAATTAGCTCTTTTAATTAACAGCTTTTCAGCACTCTCGCGGGAATGGCGATTTAAATTGGAATATTCTCGATTCAATCTCGGATCTCATTTCAGTGAATTCCAAACATCTTTACAATCGCTGTTGCGTGCGGCTGCGATTCTGGTTCACGAATTCTTGCCCTCGTTGAATTATTTCGTAGCATTTCTACAATTGTTCGGTTTTGATTCATCCGATTGATACTGTATCGATGCGTGAGGAGCGTTTGGTATTTTATAGCGTTCGTTTCGTTCGTTTTTCTGCTGGAAGAACTGATTTTCAAACTAAGTAGAAATGTGTTTGTGTAACAAGCAGCAGTTCTTTTGGCGAAAGAAAAATTCTGTACCTTTGTTACAATGAACAGATGTCGAATAAAAATATATTTTCTCTGTTAAGCAATTTATTAAGTTGAAGATAATATAACAGTACATATTTTGAAAGTCTTTAATCGTTATGTTCAATTAGCATAAATGCACAAAATTCGTTGTTTCGTAATAAGAGCGTGTGATCAATAGACTGCGGATTTTATGTGCATTTATGCTGCAATTAATTAGGCGAAATACCAAACGGTGAAGACAGAAGAATTTATGAATACATTCTCAATTCATTTATTGAACTCACTGAAAGAAAAAGTACATTTTTCCCAACAGTTAATCAAGAAAATTTTTATCTCACAGGGAAACCCACAGTCTAATCAATTATGCTATTTAATAATCGACCGATTAAACAGTTCTCCATTAATTCTGTTCCATTTCAAATCAGTTGAAATTTTGAAACGATCATTATGTTTTCTTACGTAGCTCTCAATTTCTCAATAATTGTTTACTGCTTTGTTATAATAACTGATGCTAGGATTACTTTAAATGGCAGAAGATGTGATATTTTTGCAGTCGAGTTACCGTTTAATTTGTTTGTTCAAATCGTACGGTTTAAATTGTAGATATTTGCATAAGTCTGACACGAGATCTGGTCGATGTGGAAATCATACTAATGTCTGTGTTATAGGTTGCTCATGCGTTGTCTACAGCAGCTCGGACAGACCTCAAGGTGGCACATTTACATCCCCTTACTACCCCAAACGATATCCGTCGAACATCGATTGTCTGCTTTACACGTTCGTCGGCCAACCTGACGAAATCGTCGAGCTGTCATTCCATCACTTTCACATTCATCGTGCCCGACCCGAGTAAGTGCTATCATCGAAAAAAACTCATTACTTACAGTTACTCACACTAAAAATAACAACATTATTAACGCTTTATCTACTGACAGTTTTCTAACAGTTCTTTTCTAACAGATCAGTTAAAATCGAAGATCAACGATTAAAAAATTGAAATAAAACTACAATGGTCTCATCCATAATCCATAAAATTATTTAAATCATCCCATCATAACAAGTTCTTTTAAAATATTATTTCCGATAAAATTATCGGACTTATCTTTGGCAACAGTTCAGTCATTGAAATAGCCTAGGCTTCCAGTAAATAAAGTGTTAAGAATTTTCCTCAAAGAAATTTAAGTTGAAGAATAATATAAAAATTGCGATCGTCATAAAGAACGGTAACGTTAAATTAGTTACTTATTTATTCCTGTTTATGTGCTTAGAAGTCCATATTTCCTCCTGTTACACCGGTAACATTAAATTACGCTATTTTCTAAACAGAAATATTTGTAAAACGATCGATACGTCGTACATGTAAATAAAACTGAAAACATGGAATAACAAAAATTATGTTTTAACTCAACTGTGTGACAACTAAACATGATGCTGCAGCGATGATGAAACTCATATCCGATTAATTAAACGGGAGAACACCATAAGCAGCTTACACAATGTTGCCATAGATTTACTACACCGAGTGCGGTGAATATATCATACAGACCAACTTGTAACGATCTCTTTGTAAAAAAGCCGCCTCAAAGATGGTCGGCCGGAACTTGCATTATACATCCGATCCGTGCAAGCGGCAGTTGGACAGAAATTTTGAATAAATCATAACGAACAAAAATAGGGGTGATCCAGTTATAACAGCTTTCCCTATGTTAAATTATACGGGTGCCAGGACCAGCAATACGTACGCAGAATTTGCAAAGTACGGTCTCCAGATTTCAAACCTCCGAGACCCGCGGAAATTTAGATTCAATGGAACGTTCATAAATTACCATTAACCGCATTTAAAATAGTCTTTTCTCTTCCGATATGTTCCATATGTATGTACCTGGAGGTCTGGGATGGCTAAACAATAATCTATAGATATATGACACGTCATATTTCTTACATAATTAGGTTGCGAGGAACAACGCCGCATATATCACGTTTTTATTCTTATTTTATTTTATTTATTTGGTCGCTCGAAGATGTACTTTCGTTGGCACACTTCGATCAGTTTGACTTGTGATGGAGATTTCACATAATAATTTGTTAATTAAATCAGAATAAAATTCAGTTCCCTCGTTATCAGCGTGCAACTATGATTTCTTTCACAGCTATGTCGATTAGCATTGCTTGCAGTTAATAATCATCTAAGAAAAGAAATTGCTTATTCAGACTGCTACAAAGTATGTTATAGCCACTTGTATATATTATTTTGAAACTGTTTAGAAATTACTCGAAGCAGAAAAGGTTGGTTCATGAAAATAAGATAAATATTCGAATATTATAGATAGAGGATATTATGAAACGATTTTGTACGGCAGAGCCTCGATCATCCGCGCCTTTCGAATTCTCTGTTTTTTGAAACTGTCCACGTACAGCACTGTTTATTGCTCTCCCCTGTGTTTTTATTTTAATGAATGAAAATACTGGAGAGGCCGCGGCTCGTTGTACATCCTGCAAATTTTTGGCCGCGTTCGTCCCGCTGTTTAATTGAATTCCCATGTTACGTTATGTGCTAATGGAATCCCTCGGTCAAGGTCTCATCGGGACACAGCCTGCAGCTAGCTGACTCCTGTGGTAGGGGCAGCATTAAAGGTACTGGTACTATGAGATTCAGGTGTGTTGTAGCGAAAAGAGAAAACTCGAATTACAGTGCAGAAACGATAGCGTTTGAAGTTGATTTGTAAGCCTCCGTGATATGGCGGCTCTTTGAGCTTCATACTTTGCAAATCTAAAAGTACGAATGAGGATTTATTTCAACGTTATTTGAATGTTATATTTTAGACGAGGTTCGCGTTTATGGTGTAGCTATGCTGTCAGTTTAACGAGTCGATAATACAATAATGTTATTATCGAAGCGTTTACGCGAATTTGTGTCCACAAATATTAATAATTAATTTGCAACAGATACATTTATTTCTGCAATGCTGTCTAATACCACATTTAGGTACTTGACAAAATAAAACATAAAAATTGATAAAAGAGCGTTGTTCGAACAAAAATACATGAAATTCTGTGGACATTTCTGAATTTGCGACGAAGGATTAAGCTCGGCGGCGCCATAAAAAATGCTCGAAATCCTTTACAAGTATTTGTCGTTCGAGATAAGACGGACGAGCCTTGTTTCGTCCGGTCAACCGACGTCGCAGCGGCCGAGAGGCGACAAATTGTGACGTCTCGGTGGCTGCAGCCGAGTTATCTCGGGTGATACTGTCGTGGCTTATTAACATATTTATTCACTTGCGTTCGAAGTTACGAGACGCCCGAAATACGCAAACATCCGCAGCCGGGTAATAAGCTTGCCAGGTAAAGGGACGCCGGGTGAGCAACCGAGTTCCCAACAGTTTCGAACGGTGTATGAAATATCCTGCCGCAAAACCGTCGCCTCCGGAGCCCGCAGTGTCTCATGTTCCCGCATTTTTCTACGGCACACTTGGAAATTCAGCGTGTAACGACTATGCCGCGGAATTGAATTCCAGATGCGATTCGTCCCTAGACGGGGCCGGGGGAGGCGTTACGAAAAGACTGCGGTGACTTTGGCCAGTTTTGCCTGGGCGGCCGTCGCGCCTCGCGACGAGGGAGCAGGCCAGAAAACAAAGGGAACCGGGTAGCCAATTTGTAGCGGCGTTACTCGCTCCCCCCCGCACACATGTAAATCCGGCCCAACAAACTGTTCCTTCGTCCCGTAATAAGGATTCACCGTTGACAGGGTTTAAAGAGGATTTCTGTTCCTCCGGGATGAACGCGAGTATGTACTTCCCCGGACCAACCGGTTTTATTCTTATAATGTTGCGGTTACACGACGTGCTAGGGATATTCTGCTTTGCATTCTGTTTGCCGCTGTCTTAGTCGCGGCTACATTTTTCTTGCCGGATATCCAATTAATCTTTGTTTCCACCGGACACCGCGGAAGAAATGTAGCTTCTCTGCTAAGAGACGTACACCAGTGGACAAAGGATTCAGACGGAAAGAGAGAAATTGGTCGAATAGGTCTCACGTGTCGCAATCCGTCAGAAAATTGCTATACATTCGACTATATGTTACGTTGTTAAGTANTATAATATAATATAATATAATATAATATAATATAATATAATATAATACAATACAATACAATACAATACAATACAATACAATACAATACAATACAATACAATACAATACAATACAATACAATACAATACAATACAATACAATACAATACAATACAATACAATACAATACAATACAATACAATACAATACAATACAATACAATACAATACAATACAATACAATACAATACAATACAATACAATACAATACAATACAATACAATACAATACAATACAATACAATACAATACAATACAATACAATACAATACAATACAATACAATACAATACAATACAATACAATACAATACAATACAATACAATACAATACAATACAATACAATACAATACAATACAATACAATACAATACAATACAATACAATACAATACAATACAATACAATACAATACAATACAATACAATACAATACAATACAATACAATACAATACAATACAATACAATACAATACAATACAATACAATACAATACAATACAATACAATACAATACAATACAATACAATACAATACAATACAATACAATACAATACAATACAATACAATACAATACAATACAATACAATACAATACAATACAATACAATACAATACAATACAATACAATACAATACAATACAATACAATACAATACAATACAATACAATACAATACAATACAATACAATACAATACAATACAATACAATACAATACAATACAATACAATACAATACAATACAATACAATACAATACAATACAATACAATACAATACAATACAATACAATACAATACAATACAATACAATACAATACAATACAATACAATACAATACAATACAATACAATACAATACAATACAATACAATACAATACAATACAATACAATACAATACAATACAATACAATACAATACAATACAATACAATACAATACAATACAATACAATACAATACAATACAATACAATACAATACAATACAATACAATACAATACAATACAATACAATACAATACAATACAATACAATACAATACAATACAATACAATACAATACAATACAATACAATACAATACAATACAATACAATACAATACAATACAATACAATACAATACAATACAATACAATACAATACAATACAATACAATACAATACAATACAATACAATACAATACAATACAATACAATACAATACAATACAATACAATACAATACAATACAATACAATACAATACAATACAATACAATACAATACAATACAATACAATACAATACAATACAATACAATACAATACAATACAATACAATACAATACAATACAATACAATACAATACAATACAATACAATACAATACAATACAATACAATACAATACAATACAATACAATACAATACAATACAATACAATACAATACAATACAATACAATACAATACAATACAATACAATACAATACAATACAATACAATACAATACAATACAATACAATACAATACAATACAATACAATACAATACAATACAATACAATACAATACAATACAATACAATACAATACAATACAATACAATACAATACAATACAATACAATACAATACAATACAATACAATACAATACAATACAATACAATACAATACAATACAATACAATACAATACAATACAATACAATACAATACAATACAATACAATACAATACAATACAATACAATACAATACAATACA